GGCTCTTCCCTCCAGTCTTCGCCCAAAACCCCCCCCCCCCCCCCCCCCCCCCCCGGGAAGCTGAAGCAGACCCCATTGGAATTTCTGCCCCTCTCCGACCTGCACAAAAAGACCCTGAAGAAGGAGACTCTCGCAGCAACACAAGCATTCATTGCATGTATCCGTCCCAGGGGCCGTAGTTTGAGGACCCCGATTTAGTGCAATATAAAAAATGCAAATAATTTTTCTGCAGACCAGCAAAATTTTCTCAGGGACCCCCAGTTGGTGACCACTGCTCCACAGCACCTGAGGGCAAGACAGGAAGCAATGGGTGGAAGCTTGTCAGAGAAAGATCCAAATGGAAATAGGGAGGCATTTCCTGATGATGAGAACAATTAGTCAATGGAACAGCTTGCCTCCCGGAGTTCTTAGTGCTCCATTGCTGGAGGTTTTCAAGAAAAGATTGGACAACCATTTGCCCAGGATGGAATAAGGACTCCTGCCTTGGGCAGGTGAGGTGGTTGGATTAGAAGGCCTCTCAGATCCCATCCAGCCCTATGAGTTGATGTTGATGTTTATGTCTATTTGTGAGATCGCATTTCTCCCAATAGTTTGTAAGCATTTAAATTTAAATTTTTCTTTTTCTTTCCAAATTAAATATTGTAATAAAAGAAAAAAGAAAATTGCCCCTCTCTTTCAGTTTCCACCTTCTTTCCTTCTTCTCTAAAGGTATTCTAAGTTGATTTCAACTTTAATTATTAAACACTGAAAATTTTATGAAGTTAACAATCATGAACTATGTACAGTCCAAAAGATATTTATTAATCCTTCCTTTTTGGAAAGAGGAAATTTCAATCTGTTTTGGAAGTCAGGAAAGCAAAGGCTCAGAATAAATGGAGACTTGCAACAAAAGTCAAAGATAGTTTCTTCCAACATATAAATAACAAGAAAAAAAATCAAGGAAACAAGTAGGTCCACTAAAGAGAGAAGATGGCAAGGAAGTAACAGGCAGCAGAGAGAAAGCAGAGCTGCCTAACTCATTCTTTGCATCTGTCTTCTTACAAAAAGAAACTATAGCCCAACCTATCAAAACATACCTGTAAAAGACACATTAGAAATTAAAATGAAAATAAGCAAAAAATGGTTAGAAAACACCTATCTGATCTTGATGAATACAAATCACCTGATGGATTACATCCCAACGTTTTGAAGGAGCTGGCAGATGTTATCTTAGAACAATTGTACCATATCTTTCAAAAATCCTAGAACAGGAATTTCCTGAGGATTGGAAAAGAGCTGATGTGGTTCCCATCTTCAAAAAAGGAGAAAAAAAACAGATCCAGGAAACTACAGACCAATCAGGTTAACATCAATACTTGGGAAGATACTGGAAAAGATCATCAAAAAACATATGTCAGCATTCTGAGTAACGCATCCACTAAAATCAGAACTTCAAGGCAGGTAGATTCCTCAAAGAATATGTTTATTAGATACAGTACATCATATCGGCACAGTTAGTGAAAGCCAACTCAAAAAGTTCCTGTGGTTTTTCCCTAGTTAAAAAAGCAAATCTTCCCTCCCCAGATGTCATAAGTCGCATTGTCCAATGGGAGTAGCTGGCACGGTGCTTGATCATTCCTCTCCTCCCTCAACTGCCACCTGTTGGGATGACCTTGGTTCACACAAGAAAACATTTTGTTTTGACTATTACCAAGCATATCTACTTTCCCCCCTCCCTTCCCCCTCTAAAAGTTTGTGGCAACTATGAGGCAGCACAATGGTTCAACCAGGTTTGCTTCAGAGTTGACAACATATCTGTGAACACCTAGAAAGAAATAAAGT